CAATTAGAAAACTCAGAAACAAAACTCGTGTTACGTGGTTATGAGTTTATGAGTAGAGATGGGAAAAATTGCTTATTTTTTTAAACGTTATGCTTTTTTAAAAAAGCGTGCTTTTTTTTAAACGCTTTTTAGTTTGAAGCTAACAAAATCGTTTAGAAAACATTTAAGCGCATAGACTTTTATAATAAAAAAAGCTTGCAACGTTGTGTTAATAATTGTAAGATAAGTGTTTTTTTTTAAAAAACGAGTTATATTTTTATTTATGATATAACATTTTTATATAAACATTTTGTTCATTGGCGTTTAAAAGCGTTCAAAAATATAACTTGTTTAACTTTTGTAGTTGTTGAAATGGAAAACACTGCTTATTTTCTTAACGTTAAAACGTACGTTTAAAAAGCGTGCTTGTAAAAGCGCTTTCCACTTAAACTAAATGCTTTTTAGTTTGATGCTTAAAAAGTCGTTTAGAAAAACGTTTAAGTGCATAGACTTTGTTTAAAAAAGCTTACAACGTTATGCTGAATTAATTTGTTTAGGAAACATAGATGACGTTACTTGAAACTTAGACAAATTGTTAAAAATAAAATTGTTGAGTATCTATAGAATTGACCAATGACCGACGCTGAAAAGCGTGCTTATGCGCTTATTTTAAAAGCAGACTTTTTAAAGTGCTTGTCGTTTAAACGCCCACCTCTATTTATAAGTGTACCTTGAGTCGTTGCTTAGATGCTGAGTGACGTTTAGTAACAAGCAGTCAATTCGAACACTCGCAAATTATGTATACGTTATCGTTGATCAATCAAATGATGTTTACTTGACTTGAATACAATTTTGATATCAATCTAACACTTAGGTTTATTAATACGGGCCTATGACATTCAATCACAAGTGATACTAAATATTGAACATTTAAAAAAAAGAACTTGTTACATAGTAATAGGTAACTAATAACTATTTTAGGTTTGACTGTAAGTACGCCTGTTAGAAACGCATTGCTTAAGAATCTCCGAATATAGACTGGAAAAAGTTGGAAGAAACATTTCCTACCACGAGTTTGAAGGTTAATAACAAAGTTTACGTTTCTAACCCACGTAAGAAATTACAACATTACGAAAGAAAACGATAACGCACTGACCTGTTAGGTTGGTAGAACTGGGCTGTTTGCTACCGAGCATGCCCTCCGCAGCTTGCAGCGCGCCGCTGTCCACGTGGATGGTCTTGGGCCTCGCGCGCGCCGCGGCACCCTTGTTGCGCATGCGCGTGGGGGGACCCGCGGGCGGTGCGGGGCCCCCGCCAGTCCCTTTAAGGGTGTCCATGAATTCGCTTCTATCGAACACTTTGCCCTGCAAGAGCACAACAGGAGGTTGGTAAGACTGTCAATTGAATCTATTCTATATTATATTATTGAATCCATTATCTACAAATCGCACCCCTCATAGAAGAACGGCGTAAGTGGAGTTACGTCAAAAATGTTTATTGCTCCATTAGATACAAAAAATATAACACATATCCTCTTCAATTCTTGTAACTATATTGATTAGCATTGTAGACAGAGTTACAAGACTATAGGTATTTTTCAGTGTCTAATGGAGCAATAAACGTTTTGACGTAACTCCACGTACGCGATTTTTCCATGAGGGGTGCGCCAACGTCGAGAGGATTCCGTAATGCAGGGTTTAATCGAGTTAAAAAGCGTGCCTCTCTCTCGGCCTCCTCCATGGCCTTCTTGAGCTTGTACTGCTGCAGGATGGCCTCCCTTCGCCGGGCCTGCTCCTCCTTGCGGGCCAGCTTCTGCTCGTTGGCGGCGTCCTCGCGCGCCTTCCGCGCGGCCGCCGCCGCCTCGGCCCGCGCGCGCGCCTCGTCCGCGCGCTGCCGCCGCTGCAGCGACATCAGCATGATGCGCTCCTTCTTGCGCTCCATCTCCTCGGCCGAGTTCTGCAACGGACGGCCGGTGGAGTCGCTGCGGGGGGCGGGGCGGGGGGCGGCGCGCGGCAAGGCACCCACCGGGTCCACTGGCACCTCGCCGACGACCAGCGCGGCGGGCTCGGCGGGCCGGGCGAAGGGCTGGGCGAAGGGCCGGGCGAGGGGCTGTGTGAGGGGCTGTGTGAGGGGCTCGGCCGGGGCCCAGGCGTCGGGGCCGCGCTCGGGGCTGGCGCCGGCCGACGGCGTGCGCTCCTTGCGCGGCGAGCCGCGCTTGGCGCGCAGCGGCGGCTTGGGCCGCTTGGGCTGCTCGTCGTCGAAGGAGATGTAGAAGCCCTTCTCGGCGCGCTCGTCCTCGGGCCGCCGGAACGAGTCGCGGCCCAGCGACGGGCGCGTGGGCGACGGGATGCGGTAGGTGCGCGTGCCCGACGAGATGTGCAGCCGGTCGATGCCGTGGCGCGGCGCGTCGGCCTCGGCGCTGCCGATGAACGAGATGTTCTGCGGCTCCATGTCGGCGGGCGGCGGCGCCGGCACCGGCGTCTGCAGCTGCTGCAGGCTCACGGGCTCGCGCCGCGCCTCGGCCGCGCGCTGCGGCGTGCGCGCGCGCAGCGGACTGCCGCAGGGCGACGCGCCCGCCACCGTGTAGCTGGGGTGGTTGGGCGCGTCGCCGTTCTGGTAGCGGTCGCCCGCGTAGTGGATCTGGAACGGCTGGCCCGCCGGGCGGCCCTCCCGCTCGTGCAGCACGAAGGCCGCAGGCTGCGGCGGCGGCTGCTGCGGCTGCTGCGGCGCCCACGCGTCGTGCTGCGGCGACGGCGACGGCGCCTTCCAGGCGCGGGGCGCCTCGTGCGGGGCCGGGTACTGCTGGTGGTTTTGCTGATGGAGCTGCAAACGCGAGCGTTTCATTAGTGCACTTTATGACCGACGAGCGCGAGTTCCGCGACCTCTTCCAGCGAACGCGACATTTATCTACAGTGGCCGTGCGGTTGCGCCGCGACCGCCGGCTGCCACCTCTACCGACCTGCCAGCCCCGCGACTCGTTCTCCTGCTGCTGCTGCGCGTGCTGCGCCCAGGTCCTCCGCTGCGGCGGCGGCGGGCTGTCGTGCAAGTAAAACTGCTGCCGGTTGTACTCGTCTATATCCCTGTACTGGTACTGCCGAGGCTCCTCGTACTGCTGTTGGTGGTACTGCTGTTGTTGGTAGATGTGCTGCTGCGGGATGTGCGGCGTGGAGCCGAAGCCGGTGTTGAGGCCGGGCCGCGACACATTGTGCTGCGAGCTGAATTGGCTGTGCTGCAAAGGCAATGTTGAAGCGCGCGTCAGCCCGGTGTACCCCTGGCGGGTTGCTTCACAATTTACTTAGCAGGTGTCCCAGAGACACGAAGAAGCATGAGTGCAGTTAAGCGACCAATGTCATTAAATTTAATGGAAAATGCGACATTAAGAAATATCTAAACTGACGTGTTCAATATAACCGAACGCCTTTGATGTAAGCCTGTTTTAGTGACTTAAAAAAAAATCGTACACATCGAATGAATTCATAATATTAACATACATATTTAAGAGAATAATATGCAGTAAATTTACCCTGTATTTAATGACCCGAAAATGACAAAAACCTCTGTGCCACGCGAATCCAATGACGACGCATCAATTGCAACGCGACGAAATTGGAAAAGTAAATTTTTTAACAAACAATAAATAAACTAAAAAACAAATAACGCCAAATATAAGCTAAAGGAGGGGTTTACAAATAATGTGGAACTTTGTCGTTTTTAGGTGATACGTAACGTTATTTCTTTTAATTTATATTGTCAGTTTCTTAAACATTACTTTTCACTTCACGCGTTAAAGGATGTGTTTAAAATTGACTTTTTACGATATAATTGTCTGTTTTCTTTGCGACGGAGTAAAATGACGTTTGCAGGGTTTCCAGCTTTCGTAAAATTTTAAATAGTTTTCGACAGTTTTATCGATAGATTGTAAAAAAGGTAAAATTTTGCAAAAGAAATCAAGAATGGAAATGAATAGCAAATTTGTATGACATAATTGTGTTATCGCCGTCTTTATTCTTATTTTGACATTTGGCCTACTAGTATCGAAATCAATTAATCAATTAATGAAAAACAGATGCACGTTCGTATTGAATGAAAATTAGCAGGCTATACGGGTAAAACATCTGCGTAAAACAACAGTAATATCTACAATCTTGATATATATTATATGAATTACTTGAAAACTGTATATTATTCGTTATCTTGTATATGTGGTTTAATACTGAATTTCAGCTTTAACGAAAACCCGACTTTTCTAAGTTATATTTTGGGGTAAGCACAGCTTTCATGTACTTGTGATAAATAATATAATGAACTTTTTCATACATTTATTTAGATAAAAGTGGGGGAGGAATTTACACCTATTGGTACATTTTTCTATATAAATATTGGTTACACAAGTGTGACCAATATTTAGTCGATCGAATATTTATCGACCGCAACCACTAGCTGTTTGTAACGGGCAACACTTATGTTCAAAGAACAGTCTATTTATTTCGTCTTGGAAAAATATACAGAACGCCAACTGGAACTAATGTTGTAAAGAATAAGGCGCAGAATCAAACCCATATACCGCACTTCGTTAAATTGTGAAACAAACCTTACAGTACCTTAGCATTATAGATGATTGGGTAGCAGTAGTTTTTAATATTATGAAGAATTTAGGGATAGTTCAGATTTTTAGCAGTGCTTGCGGCACCTCACCATACCCAGCTGTGCGTTCTGGTATGCAGTTTTGGAAGCTTTCAATTCGTGAACAAATGGTAATAAACACTTGGAGTACCTGACCATGACAACTTACCACAGACGCGTTACTACAAAAAAAATAGACTGACGCTCAGAAGTAAAAAGCTGATGTTTGAATTTGGAACGTTATGCCCACAAGATGAATGTTACCGCTGAGCTGTCACTGCATCTCTGTAGCATGAAGACCACTGACTGAACGATTGAGAAGGGAACTCACCAACTGTGGAATGCTCGGTTGATATTGGGGTTGATAAGGCGACTGTGGTGGTGCTTGCGGCACCTGTGGCTGCGAATACATCTGCTTCTGCTGACTCTGCTGTTGGAACTGCTGTTTAGCCTGCTGCTGTTGGTTCTGTTGCTGCTGTAGTTGGTTTTGTTGGCTGGCCAACCGCGCGATGTCGCTCTGGATGTCTTGAAGACTGGAATTCATTCTGAAATATTACATTTTACAGCTTTGTAACGCTGCTCGTTGTATATTCTTAGACGAAATTTAACAAATTGACATAAATATTATCTACATTATTTTTAGAAGCAGTAAAGCTTCTTGTGAAAGAGTTTATCCAAGGAAGTACTGCCACCTTACCTATTTCTGAAATCACAGAGACATGGGACTTGTCAACTTATCTAAAGGCGACAGGCGCAGTGACAGTGCCCCTCAGATCTTTGCGAATTAAAGCTCTGAGTGGCACTGCAGCTGTTAGGGAAAGGCGTGTCGATTAGCACCAGGCACACGATTTGATCGTCCCGTCACTCAGTATTATAAAAAAAAAACAAATTCATTGATAAAGAGCAAATCCCAGACTTTTTTGTTCATTCTTCAATTGCAACCTGCCTTACAAACGATACTGAAGTTAAATCTTACGTAAGAAAGAAGTGAAAAGAGGAATGGGACGAAATTGATAAGGCGTACAAAGGTAAGAATTAACAGGGAAGAACGGAAAAGGGAAGCATATTTTGCCCAGCAGTGGCCTAGTGCAGGCTATTAAAAATACACTTGCCAATTCATAGCGATAGTAGCAGGGCCCCGGGAGAACAATTGCTTATCAATGACGACCTTCATAGTCGAGTGGCTTGCACACCGGTTTTCATGGTGTCGCCATCTCTGAGGTCCCGGGTTCGATCCTCGGCCGGGTTAGTGTAGATAAACTAACTTTTTTATATTGTCTCTGGTCTGAGTGTTTGTGGTATCGTCGTTGTTTCTGATTTCCATAACACAAGTGCTACCTACGTTTGTGATGTTACGTTACGCATGTGATATCTAATATTTATTTATTTACTTTAATTGAAATATAGTTGGTTCGAATCCCTGCATGTATTTATGACTATTATTGACACAAAACTCGATTCAACACAAAGAAAAAACTTTAATTGGACTTGAACCAGCGTCTGATTGACAAACCACCTACATACAGATCGCGTTAATAGATATTACGAATTTTTCAATGTGCCTGTTGCAGATCTTTGTATTGGGTTATAAGGTTTTTTTTGCCGCCATCTGTGAGAAATTTGCGAAAGTTTTCTTCATTCAGCCAGTTACCAGCGACTGACAAGAGATGTCGCTCTATTAATTTTAATATTTCGACCCCACCTATGTATCGTATGTCGAAATTGCTAAGTTTACAGGGGAGAGTTTTAAAGTTTTGTATTCTGTGACTGTGACTTTAGCATTTCTCAGTTTTATACTATCACCGGACCCACCCAGTCTCACTTTAGTTTACCCGCTTGTTGACGCACACCCGCGTTATATAGTATACAATTATAAAATAAATTGTGGTTGTTCATCTAACCGATATCTAGGATTTTATAATACTCTATGTGACTAACTAGCTCTTCTGAAAAAAAATTCTGAAAAAAAAGAAATGCTAGTCACGTTATGCTCGTTTCAGTGAATTAAAAACTTTAAAACGCTCCCCTGTAAACTTGGCAATTTCGACATACGATGCTTTAAGTAGGAGGGGTCGATTTATTTTATTGAATATAGTGATGTTTTTACTACTATGATATTCCTATATTTTTCTCACACGTAGCGCCACAGCAAAAACGCCGTTTACAACGTAACGTAAACGTTTGATCTTTGGAATTCTTATTATTGATGTTAAGTATAATCTTACTTGGCTATAGATTGTTGATATTGCTCTAGCGCGCCGGCATCTACGTTTTGAATATGGTGTTCAGCCATGTCCTGAAATAAAATATAAATATTGCTCATACAGCATTATCATTGCATTCCCAACAGTGTATTTAACCCTTTGACCGCCGTGAACGCTTTAAATTTTCTCTACATTAACTTGGCTGATACGCCAATGACGCACTAAAGCGTCAAACGACACCCTTTAATCCTCAATTTAAATGAATTAATAAATGTTAAAATATACCTTGTGTTATTTATATATTCTAGGTAAGTATGGATTCGTAGTTGCATTTTATATTCAGTTATGTTCTACTTTGATTTAGGAGAATTGAATGAAATTATTTTTTGGAAATTCATAACATGTCACATCACTATATAGGTTTGGCGTCAAGGGAGCGAAACTAGTGTTTGTCAGTGGCGGTCAAAAGGTTAATGAAAATATAAGATTGGATGTCTATTTCGCAATGGATAGGCCCTAACTCATAATCAGTGCTAAGAAATTACTGTGCTTTCCGGCAAATGCGTGAGTTAAGAGTCTATACAACATCAAATGGCTTTGGTTGGTTCCGCATAATCAAATCATTTTGGAAAAATTATTGAGGATATATACTGACTATAGTCCATCTATTTAGGTACTTAACTAAATGTAAACAATCTTGAGATGTATATTTAATGAAATATACATTTATAAAATGATTTTCCCTTACCTTCAAATACAAAATACAAATACTTAGCTTCGTATGAAATTGCATGCCTATTTTTATACCTATTGATTTGTAAAGCATGTGTTTCAATAAAAAGATGTATCAAGATTGTTTACATTTAGTTAAGTACCTAAACAAATGGACTATAGTATACGGTGTGATAGCAAGTAAACCGCTGTATTATATATATAACAAGTATAGTATACGATATATATTTTTCAAGTGGCTTTAATATCATTTGTAAAAAAAAAAATCTGAAATAAATCCAGTGTCCCTGCCACTCGACCCGCGCAACATAACCGATTCAGTACGTGAAAAATTTGAATTCTAGGCTCTTAATTTTTGTTACCGCAGTTGACACCACACAAGGAATTCAATGTTTTTGTTTTTTGTAAATAATTTTATTGTATTTTTGTTTTGTTGCGATTTATTTCTCATATCGATCCCTTACTTTCTTAAACTCGTATCTTATAAAGGGTGATTATTCAGAAGATGGCAAAACTGTATATTTATTTTAAAATTCTTATCAAGGGTGTTAATTTGGGTGCATTACTTTAAGAATAGGTTAAAACCAGTGTGTGAATATGAAGGAAATGTGATATGAAATCAGTATATACAATCCATTTTTTGCATTTCAGTAACTTTGTGTTTTAAGATAAAAGTTTAAGAAAGTAAGGTGATGATATTTTAATGTCTGTTTTGTTATGTTTGTAATAGGCCTATAAATATAGTGGGTATTTCCAAATACGTATGAGAGCAAATAAATAAATCGTATGTCATTAGCTGTTCGATTTGGACACGTTCATTACTCATGGTCTCAGGTGTAGTCTTAAAACTTATTATTATTAATAAAATATTATTTGACGGCCTCCGTGGTCAAGTGGCTTGCACACCGGATTTCATGGTGTCGCCATCTCTGAGATCCCGGGTACGATCCCCGGCCGGGTCAGTGTAGAAAACTAACTTTTCTATTCTGTCTCGTGTCTAGGTGTTTGTGGTACCGTCGTTGTTTCCGATTTCCATTACACAAGTGTGTTAGCTACTTACTTTGGGGTTAGAACAACGCATGCGATGTTGTTGTTGTTGTCTAATATTGGTTCATAATTAATTTAAAGAAATCATGACCGACAAAACTGTGCGTACGGGCGACGTGTACGCTACGATATAGTAGCCGCCGCTTTTGCAAATAAAGGGCAACATGACGACTAATTGGAGAGAATGGAAAATGGCAGTTTTTGTTTTTTTTTTGTTTTTCTTCTTCTGTGGTGTCATTTGCGATAATGTTTTTGTTTTAAAACTTGAATATCATGATGGTTATTAACCTCTTAAGGCCCCGTGTACATCAAAATGTATATAAGATGTGAAGTGATTCAGATCCAGATAACATTATTCCTATGATCACGTACCCAGTGTATAAGAAAAATATCGCATTCAAATTTAGGTCTATATATTCTATGTGACCTTAGGGAATCTAGAAAAACATGTTTTCATACAAAACTAAGGGGATTTATGCTTGGCCTCAAGCAAATAATTATATATAGTAAATTTTAATGTACATGCGTTTTTTTCCATTGAAGTTTGCTGGGCCTTAGGAGGGCAATTAAAAGACGAAATGAATTTTTTAATCATGAATACAAAGAAATTTCAGAAATTCTCACAAATAATCTACTTTCAGTATAAATTAAACATTTTATGAGAATTTCATACAATAATCCATGTATATTTACACGAAAATAAAATTTACTCTCACCTTACCTTGAAACTTTTCGTGTACAAAACAATTAGTATGTACGTGTCTATAATAAACATTTAATACATTAAGGCGGCGCATTTGATTATGGCATGCAATTAAAACAAAACATGCATTCTTGACAAAATATCTACGAACCATTGAAGTCACAACATAAAATAATTGGCGCGCATTAAAAACTTTGAATAAATTAGTGTCCGTTAGGAATATTTAAAAGATCTATTTAATAAAATCGTTTTCTTTAGAGTAAACGAGCACTTGTCGACCTCGTCATATGAGCAACAAGCTATTGTTAAAGAAAAAACAAATTTTCACAACAGATAGTTTTATTAATACGTAGATACGTATTAATAAAACTATCTCAAGTGTAGAGTACCCGTTGTGAATAATTTAAATTAATAAAATGTATGCTTATTATAGCCCATTTCAAAAGCATTTTTTTTAATTTATCGTTTCTTTCATTATTTTTAAACGACTTCAAAAAAAGGAGGAGGTTCTCAATTCGTCTGTATGTTTTTTTTTGTATGTATGTTACGCGATAACTCCACCATTTGTGAACCAATTTTGATGCTTCTTTTTTGTTGGAAGGAAGGTACCTCAGATCTGGTCCCATTTAAATTTCAAGAAAATATTCCACCTCTAAGGGTGGCAAACTAGGGGATGAATGACTTTTGAGGTCGGTTTTTTTAACCGGAGGTTAGGTTATTTCGTTCGCTTTTGGCAGTAATCCGTTCCCCGAAAGCTTCAAAGATGGCACATTAATAAAAAATCGCCTACTTGGGAATATTAAAATAGATTTTTTTTTAAAGTAATAAGTGCGTTTTTTCATGATCCGGTTTCGGCCGAAAACAGAATTTTTAAAAAAAGTCACCGAATAGTAGCCAAAGTTGCAAAGTTTTGGATACGCGCCAAAATCCTCTGGTCAATTACCTGGTGGAGGTTAGAGTCCTTGGTGTCGTCGTCTGCCGGCGTGCGCGCACCTTTGCCCTGCAACACAACACCGTGCGCCGCCACCGTCACATACGCATGCCCAGCATGCTAAGTTGATTGGAATGCACTATTTACTTTAAAGCTTTTTCATTTACGCAATTTGAATAAATGGTATGCCAATACAAGACAATCGGCCCGGCGTTATTGCCTGTCTTTCGAATTGAACGATTTTTTTGATTTCAATAGTGACTGTAGACATGATTTTGCATTACCACGCTTCTATACTTTATATCTAGCAAATTTTGCATAGAACGTTATTCACAACAACAATATGCTTTTTTCGAAGCTAGTAAACAAAATTTTATAGAAATATATTTCCGGGCTGGAACACCGTCTTGTCCAATTTGTATATATAAAAATATCTTGCAAATATAATAATTCCAATCAACTTAAGGAACATGCCAATTACAAAGTGTAGGACATAGGTTTTTGTACTCAAGTTTGCATCAACGTGTACTTACTACACTCCGTGTTTCATTTATGTTACAAGGGACGAATATGAAAACTAACTATTGAATGGATAGTTGGAAATGTGTTTACGCATTGCAAAGTATACGTGAAAAATTTATTATAAAATAAAAACCCGACTACGAAATATACTTTCATGACATACTTGAAAATCTGCCAGCTGGTTCTCTATTCAAATAAATATGTACTTACATAGATTCCTAGTATCATTGCAAAACAATTGCTTATGGCGAGGTAATAAAAGTAGTAGCCGGTAAATAAAAGAATCTACGTCGTGGCTATTATAACGCAAAATTTCCAAAGAGCACAGCATAATTTTAATAAAAGTGAATTAAAAATTTTTAATTTATTCAAATCGTCTTTTGATGAGTTCTAATTCAAAAAACTTCAAAAATGAAAGCTGTGTAAGCGTGTACTAATTCGAATTTAATATTTAATAAGGAAAAATATGTAGTGATGTCATTGTAAGTGATAAAATAAAAACAATATATGTACAAATGTAATCTAAAGCTAAAATTATGGATACGGTTAAGACCGGGCCACTCACCAAGGAGGCCAACTGGCATTGCAAATATGTGTCCTATTGGGATAGAAAAACATATCGTAATATTGTATTAGTAACGTCGTGCTACCAGACCGACTGTGTGTCGTTTGTTAACAACTGTCCTAATTAGTAGACTCAAATACCTACGTTATAAAGTGTAACTTAGAAATAACACAATCACTATAGTCATAACAAAAAAATAAAACCATTTCACAGCTCAAATGTAACTAGACGGCCATTATCGCAAAAGGGGGTCTACTCCCGTTCGTTTGGGCCTGGGCCCGTATTAATAAATTCTTTAAATTCTTTAAAATTACTTAAGTCAACTGTCTATTAATAAATATTATTAACTCAAAATATTATTAAATCCACAGAACAATAAATACAGTAGAAGTGGTTAGTTAGCATCCGACGCGTGCCAACTACAGGTCTCGAAAGACCGATCTGAGCTCAGTCCGCATTTTCGCTTTGTATGGTATGGTTGTGTCGTTCTTTCGTGCAAATTCTCTAAAATGAAAGAAGATGAAAATCATGGTAGTAAAAACATCATGATATCCAATAAAAATACAGATGATTACAGTCTATTGATCTACAGCTTGAAATGAGTCTCGTGATCTGTATGACCTCTAAAACACGCCTAACGGGCTTAGGGACTATTTATTAACACGGGCCCAAGTGTATTTAGTTAATTTCTAAAAATTCATACGGTAACGTTGCATTATTTTTTTTCAATAGTTTCTTTTTGTCATGACTAGAATGAGCTTCCGAAGTATTAAACAACACAACGTACATAATGTTCACCGAACATGGAATAACATATAGAAAATCTATCACATCACTCCACTATCAATACAATCGTTACAAAATACATAATTACTTCAAACATTCATCCCACAACTACTTATATATGAACCAACAAAAAGTATATAGACATGATAAACACTTATCCACGATAAGGGTCAAAGCAAACCTCGTTATCAGCACGCATGAGCAACGCACGCCGGTCAAACGTATCGGCGTCAGCATGCACGCACACGTTATGCGGTTCTCGTAATCAGGGAGTCAACTCCCGCGCTCCGTCCAACATCCATCCGAAACAATTACTGTCAAATATTTAATACTCGATCTAATCAAAACACAATGAAATAAGCTTCATTCGCATCATCCGTCTTTTAATACTTATTTGACAGTAATTGTTTCGGACTTTTGGACGGAGAACGGGAGACACCCCCATATTACGAGAGCCGCATAACGTGTGCGTGCACGCTGATACGTTTGATCGGCTCGGATGTATAGACTCAAATAATAATGAGACCTAAGTTTGACTATCAAAATATTTGCCCTTGTTATTTTTCTAAGTATGTGTCATGCCTACTCCCAACGGGTCACCCACACACAGAATGCAAATGTCCTATATACTCACTCTGGTAACGGCCTGTAAGAACGCCTGCTGTCCTAACTGTTGTCTTTGCTTATTCACTGCGAGCTCCATCCTCCGTTTTTCCTGCTCGATGCGGCGTCGTTTCTCTTCTAATTTCAGTCTAATATTGTTTAATTGCGCCGCCATAGCTTGACCCCCGCTAGGCGAGGTTGTCACGTCGTCTGAGAGGTCATCGCCGTCTGGAAATATCCAATGTAGTGTATAGTAGAAGAAAAACCCACTTATACATCCCACTGTTGGGCACGGGTGTCCTCATAGGGTTTAGGCCATAGTTTACCATGCTGGCTCAATACGGGTTCACTTCACACGTTTTCCGAGGTCTGTGAACCTTGTTCGATGTGCAGGTCTCTCCACGTTGTTCTTCACCGAAAAGCTCCAAGCCACAGCCTCTGATTGAGAGCCGGTAAGTCAAACCACTAAGCTGCCACGTCTTTTTTAAATAATACTAAATATTAATGCAACTAATTCTGTATAATCACATTAAATTTAGTAAGAATATTTGAGGGAGCTAGGGTCTAGTGCGGTTTCTTGTAACTTGTTCGAAAGAGTTTATTACAAGAGATTGTTAGGGAAATACATTGGGACATTAAGATTTTGATACATGGTACAGATGTTTTCTGATACAGATAGGTACTAACTGGGTTGATTTTCTTGTTGCATAAATTGCTGTTGCCACGTAGTAGTGTTGGCCGGTGGTGTGGAGAATGATGTTTTCCGCCGCTCCGGGGGTTCACTCTCTGATTGATTAAATATCGATTGAAGACCTGTTGATCAACCATTATTATCAATCACACTATATCCCCGCTTTCGTGGAGCAAACGCCTGATCAACAAAACTCGTTCTAATTTGTTAATTTCTGTGTAATTGTTTTCATTACTTTGGTGATCAGGCTTAGTTGGTAGTAATGGGAATATGTGGTCCAGTGAAGCTTGAAAAACACAAAGCGTCGCAGCGTAACAAGGCCGAAGAATGATTTTACAAGTCAACAGATAGTAAGCATAATGCCGGATTTACATTTGTCTGACGTGCCGTGTCGTGACGCCTCAGAAAGGTATCGGTTTCATACGGTTTCATGTCGTGTTGTGTCGCATCAGACTAGATCCCGGTTTGCGTCAGGACGAATAGCGGCCGCGTCACGTCAGATCAGACAAGTGTGTGATCAGTGTTGTGACGCTTCAGACGATGGTATTGATTCAAAATATAGTCAGAACACGACATATAGACGTGAACGCTAGTCATGAGGTCAGAGCGCATCACGACACGTTACATCAGACAAATACAAACGCGGCTAAAATGGACATGATGGATAAGCGGATATGCCTTTTATTAATATTATGGAATATAAATGCGCAAAGGTGTAGAGGAGGTAGCGCATCCAGTTATCCTTAACGTCCTAGCGAACAAACCTGTCTGGTCGCCATTACTCCTAATGTTATTCAAAACGGCGAAGCTCATTTTCGTGCCGTCGCCGTCAGTCGTGTCCCTATCGTTGAGGTAGAAGCCCCCGTCGCCACCCCCTTTATGACTAAAACCGTAGTTCTGGGTCAAATTGATCGTGTCGCTGCTCAGTTGACGTCGTATGGGGAAATATGGCTGGTCGTGTTCGGTGTTTTGAGGTTGCGAATGTTGACGCTCGACTTTTTGTCGCGAGTCGTCTTGCCCGTTTTGGAAGTCGCCGTGGCAGAACTGTATCGAACTGCGGATGTCTTGTCGCGACGATCGAAGAGGAGGGTTGTAGTCTAATGGACCTGAAACAAAATTTGTTCACAATTAGTGTGATCTGGTAGCTTAACGGTAATAAAAAATAATTTGTTATAATTATTAATACAAAGATTGAACACTTAAAAAAAATATTCGAACTTCGGCTGGATTCGAACCAACGTCTTTCAGCAAACCGTGCTATGCCAACTAAGCCACGGAACGAACTAGCAGACCTTGTGAATTTTTTACGTGCTTGTTCTGTAACAAAGATCTGCATCTTTGTTGTTGATTTTTAACGATTTTTTTGCCGTAACGCCATCTGTGAGAAATCTATGAAAGCTTTTCTGCATGTCGAAGACGGTTCACAGCCCTTGGAAAAGAGGAGAAGTTTCCAAACCTCACTAGGCCAGCAAGGGCTATGGCCTAAATACTCTCCTTAGAATGGAATATCATATAAACGATAGATTAAAGAGAACAAACCTGCAGGCGCAGATATCTTCCTAACATTGGCCAACGTGGCGAGTTCCTTCTCGGGATTGCGACCAGCGAAGTGTAATCTATCCTGGGACCCTCCGAAGTTCTCGACAGTGAGCTGGCTGTCCTCTGTGATAGAGGAGCGCCGTGACCTGCGGCCAGCGAACGACGCCTCGCGGCTATCCCCCCAATTCGACGGTCTACCCGCTGCTGTCAGGTTTGCGTCCACTGATACTACAAAAAGTATTTTTAGCTTATTATTACAGAGCTATTCAGAAATAGACCAAAATACAAAAAAATTATGATACATTTTGGTGAAATTATAGACACATGGGACTTGTCAACTTATTTCTGACGGGCGGTGCTCCCGAGATCTTTGCTATTTAAAGCTCTGAAAGGAACTGCAAGTGTTATGGATACGCGTGTTGATTACCACCAGGCGCACGACTTGTTCAGCCCGTCCAATAGTATTATAAAAAAATACACTCCAACGACTGCACCTTAAAATGTTTTTCATCACACTTGCTCGTAAACGGTGTTATGACGTGCAGGCAAAGTCGACCGTAATGTTCTAAGTTACACCCACGCGCTTTTTCATTACATTATCGCCCAATGGATTTTTTACGTCAAAATTATGCAAAAGGCTTTATGCTTGAAAAATCTGAAGGTACATTTCGCTTGAACTTGAAGTATAAAAAAAACAAAATTTATCTATATTTTACTAAATTTATTTTGTTACTTCAAATTAAGCATTATTTTAGAATTTGGAAATTATTTATTTTATATCTAATACATTGTGGTTGCATGTGGCTGAGCCATTTATAACATTTTAGTTTAATTTGTATTATCTATCGAAGAAAAGCTGGCAATCTGTTTAAAAAAATACAAAATCCGTAAATGTTGTGTTGTGAAGCGACATTTTTTCATACAAGAAATAAATTATCGTCGTATCTATTTTCTCACAAATGCAAAACATTGTATGTAGCACGGACGGTAAAAATTACAAGCCTCGAGTCATTAAAGCCCCTCAGCATTCGGCTTCGGGCTTCTAACAAACTCTCGTTAGTAATTTCTTATTTACCGCCCACAATGTACTATTATTAAAGAGCAGTGTCCATCCATATGGCTACTGTTATTTGATTAAACATTTTGGGTTGCTGAGCCAGCGAAGTAATTAATCGTTATTTATGTTATGTAATTTATATTAATCGTTCTCCATTAACTTCAAAAGTTGCTTTTAGTATTTCATTTAGTAATATTTTTATTATAATTATTAATATAAAGATCGAACACTCCGAAAAAATCCGAAATTCAAAAGCTACGGCTAAAAAGTCGTTGTAAAACCAAAACACAAAGGTACGACAACATACACATAGAAAAATTCGTAAGGTCCGCTGGTTCGTTCCGTGGCTTAGTTGGTATAGCGTCTGCCACGTTATGCTAGAAGACGTCGGTTCGGATGGAAGGAATTTTTTCTCAGTGTTCGATTTTCTATTAATAATTATAACAAACTAGTGGAGTGATTTCACATAAAAAAATAATTGAATATAAATTTAAATACTTTTATTACTTAATTTTCATTTTTATTCCATAATTTTATATATTTGAAGACCTCGGTAGACCAACGGTTTGTACTGTGAACGCGGGACGAGGAGACCTCGGGCTTGTTTCCAGGTAAAACCAATACGTAAAATTAACTTTTCTAGTTGGTTACAGTGCTCTAATGTAAAGGGATTTTTTAGTTTGAGACCAGTAAATTAGTATCGTCGTCTGGCTCTATTATTATTTATTTCTAAATGCTTATAAATACGTACAATATCACACAAACAAATAAATTAAATAAGACGTAGTCGATTGACATTCATCCGCTGCAAGATTTAAAAGCAATCTGATAACAAAATTGGGACACAAAAACGCGAGAATTTTAATAGTACATTGTACACAATGGCGGTAAATAGGAATTATGAACGAGACTGTTAGAAGCCCGAAGCTTTCGGAATCAAGGTTCGTAATTCCTGTACCCTTCGTGTTACATACAATGTTTTTCATTCACATTTGCGAGGAAATAAAGGCAAAGATAAATGCAGGAAAAATAAAAATAGATGGCTAGCTATTCTTCCATAGATAAAACAACTCGAACTAAAATGTTGTAAAAATACTGCAGAATTTGAATTTATAAAATTAATTTAGTAAAATATAGATAAATTGCAAATGTTTAGTTTCCAAATAAATCCTTTACAGCCATAAAGCGGTAACGTAATGAAAAAGCTCATGGGCGTAATTTAGCACATTACGGTCGACTTTGCCTGCACGTTATGACACAGTTTACCAGCAAGTGTGATGAAAAATGTATTACCATTGTCGTCATCTCGTCTAGCAACAGAGGACAGTGTCGTGATTCCCCTGCCTCTGTGCACGACGAACTCTTCCCTCTGCGGGCTGCAGCTGCGCCGCTCGGGCGTGGAGCACGCCGAACGGCCGCTGGGCGCGCGCGGCCGCATTGCGCAAGCTGACGGCGACCGAGGTACTGCAATGTTTAGCTATGTGTTAGTTCCCTTTCTCTCTCATCTGGTAATGATATGTCCGAAAGGGAAAAAAAATATTGCCGGCGTGGATTTACTATGTATAATCTTATACAGAAGATATAACGACAATTGGAGGAATATAAACTTCACGAATTCTGTTATTTCGAAAGTATCAAATCCAATTTATAATTTATAAAATATTCGCAGAATAATATGATAAAACGATACGATTTATTTATTTTGTCTGTTAGCCAAATGACTTAGTAAGTTGAGACGGACTTATTAATACGGGCCGGAACGATATTAATATCTTACTTGAGTCAACCATGGTTATTAATAAATTTAAATTGAGTGTGTATTTTTTTTATAATATCAAGTGACGGGACAAACAAGTCGTGCGTTCGTCGTCATTAATAAACATCACTCCGAGTAAATCTTAATTTCTCAAGTACCGAATACTCGTCTCATGAAATAGTATCATTCAAGATACCGATACTTATAGGCATCTCGCAATCTGAGTGATATCTCTGCCGTTACGCATTTAACACTGGAGTTAATTAATACGGAACTTACGTCCTTGTTTCTTCTGTATGAAATTATGTAACTACTAATTGAAATAAAAAAGTTTTATTACAGTAATGAATCTGTTAGGTCATACCAAAAGTTTAAAAAAAAAAGTATAACTGTGACAACTTTAAAATGAAATACGAAGTCTATACGAAGTATATTCATACTAAATAGTTTACAATAATAATGACTCTATAACTTATTCCACATAATATAAGAGATGCTACGAGCTCATAAACAAACATTACTCGTGCTAACAAAAACACTAAAAATAACAACACTACTCACTACGCCTTTGCTAACTCAACTACAACAACAACTTTAGATATTATAGTGTTAATAACAAATTAAAACATCGGGAGTCGTGAGGACATAACGTCAACAACTCCATTCACGTTAAAAGTGCGTTAAAACAAAGCTAGCAGATAAAAATGCATGCAGAAGCGTTACAACCCAAATTAATTAGTAGAAATTAAACGGTAAGAGATTCACAATTGTTAAGCCATTGTTAGTAAAAAAATAATCGAAAAAAGAGTACATAGTAAACTTACTCTTACATCCTTTGCATAAAGTTCAAACGTCGTATTATTAATATATAAAACAACTTGCCTAATACACATGACATGACGCACGCACACTCAGAACTTACACGACACAGACACGTGCATGACAAGGTACAAGTTGCAATCATGAACAGTGGAATGGTCACAAACAGTGAAGGCGCAGAACACACAGCAGTCGCACAAACGGTTAGGGGATTTGACAAGTGACATTGAAATCTTAAAAACATAAACAAATCATGTAAACAGTATTGTAGTACAACGGTAACCTTAGCCGTTTCCAAATGGGTGTATTTTCGCAATATCTAATCGGTAATAGATCGGAATTTTCTCGAAGCCTGTTAATGTTACAATGGATTAGATAGACGGGAACGCGAATTGAGATGCCAATGCCACTTGCGGTCACAACACAACCGGTGTACCTGAGAAGGGCTGGCCGTGCGCCGGCGCCGCGAGCTGGTCCCCGCGGAGGTCGGGGATGGGCGCGGGCGGCGGCGGCGGCAGGCAGCGCTTGTGCCGCACGCCGTGCGAGTTGCAGTCGCGCGCCACTGCCAACACCACTGTGTCCCTCAGCCACGAGCTCGGCAGCCCGTGGCTGCTCATGTCACCCTGTCTTACTTACCTCTTATTTCTACTACTCGACTAGTTCTCTCGATAGCTCCTTCTGGCTACTCATTATGAGTTTATCGGTCGAGTTTCGTATGTCAATTTTGTTATTAAAGTGCTATTACTTGTGTGAAATATCTGCCGTGCTTGCAAATACGGCATCGCATCGCATAATGTAGACGATTGTCAAATTCTGGCGATATTTAAAATTAACCATTTACGAGTTCAAAATTATCTTTGTTTCATAGGTAAGCAAATTACACTAGAAATCGTCATACTGATTAAACTCTACTGCTCATTCGTAACGCAGAGTCCCCTGAGAAGAATGAGCAAGAAACCCTAGGAGTTGCTCTTTATATATATATACATTTCAATACATTTATCATTCATTTAACTGCCTCCGTGGCCGAACGGTTACCATGCTGCCACGCATAGACCCCAGGTTCGATTCCCGGGCCGGGAGAAATATTTGTATGGCCTAGATATATTTCTCTCGTGAGTTTGGGTGTAATTTGTGGTTGTCTATGTGTGTGTCCATGGCACCCGCGACACAGGGTTTCCCTAGTGCGGGGCTATGTTGAGTGTGTGCGTTATTATTATTACAATATTTACCTTAAACATCTTCGATCGAGAATATCTGAAAGAGCTAAACGGGCACTACAACGGATCACATCCAAGTACGCAGAAGTTGTATAATAACCTTTAAAAAATGTATAAAGTTTTTGTTTCACAATAGTTTTAAACCTCGTAAATGGCAAATTTTGAATATAAATCGGAATCTTATTATAGAGCCGTATACATTAACCTTTAAATGAGTTTGAGACTTTATGAAGACCAATGTCAAAAAAAAACTAGTTCCTCGTATTAATGTCATGTCTATCACTATTTTTCACAAAAAAAATCTTTTTCTTAACATAAATAACATTTTCATAAATGTACTGTAACGTTAGTGTAAGAATGTTATCTCTTTAAACTTATCTCTCATACACACTCTGGGGCCTAGATTGTAAATTGCCCTAACCGCACGTAACACACGGTCTAAAACTGTAGGAAGCAAAGCCTTCATAATTATTTACAATACAGCGTCTGCATACTTGGATGACAAAAAATCATAGTAGTGACTCGTTCAGCATTTTCAGGTTGTTTCTATGAGATTTGAAAAAATATTGTACCAAATGTGAACAAATGTCCACTGACAAGGACCATCCCCTCCAGTTTCTTACTCATTCTCTCTGAGAAAGAAACTCGAAGAATCAGAATCTGTCTTACCATTAAGCAATAGTGTTAAGTCAATATAAAGGTTTCAAGTGTAATTTGTTTATGAAATATTTTTATTTGAATACATTTCCGGTTGTCTTTAGTGGTATTCATGGGTCGGTCTCTTGATATGCAAATTATAAAAACTCCGTGCCGTCTACAGGAAATCTCGTAATCAAAAAATGTACATAATCGACATCATTCCAAGGTCACCGAAGCCACACAACTTACGATCTCCCACACAAAGTACTTACACTGTAATGAAATAATTACCCACACACAATTAGACATAACGATATAACTACATCCACGGACATTATCCCGATATGAACTATGTTTTTCCTATATTATTTATACTACAGGTTGACATTTAGATTTTAAAAACGTGGTTGGTCACATGTTATAGGTTTCTGAAAACTATTTTTTTTTAATTCACGGTATTTTAGGGAGGGTTTCCATCCATAACACGACCGATTCATACCCCCTCACACGCGCAGTAAATATCAAATACTCTTTTTTTTCTATTATTACTGCGCCTGGAGGTAAGCAATTAACAGATGCAGAGCCACTCAGTTTTAAATTACAAAGATCTCTGGGGCGTTGCTACCAAGATTGACATTGACAAACAAGGAGAAATAGGTATGGCGGCATCGCCTACGTGGACGAACACTTTCACAAGAAGATCTACTGCTACTAAAATTCCATAATGAGAGCTATTTCCTACAGGAGATCCCTATGGTAAAGTCGGTATTGATGTAAGATTGCCTCCAAAATTATCGTAAAATAAAAAGAAATCATCCTGTATATGTCCTACGAGTTAGTATGTTCCCACGATCACCTAACTGGCTTTAATAACACAACTTACCCATACCCAGGCATGTCAACAAGCACAAAACAGACCGACTCACGAATGATTGCGGTTTTTGCTTTACAAGCAAATGTTACACAGGTAATTTTAGAATCATGATTAAACTTAAATCAACATGTGTTTACTTTAACCCATACATATTATATGGGTTAAGACATTGCTAGTCACGAGTGTCCTCTAAAGAAAACGACTTTATACAGCGGAATTTTTAAACAATTAGGTATAACTAACGTGACCATTATTCTTTTCCCTCAGAGCGGGACGCCTGTAAATTTATAATTGCTTTAAAAATAAAACACACATTTAATAATGACAGTTACAAAATGTTTAATAATTTAAAAAATCAAAAGAGAACTAAATATGATTAATGATCAAAAATTTTAAAGAAAGAAATACTTGTATCGCTTTCGCGCCATTTTATTAAATTGATGGTCACGTGTCCCGATTTGTCAAAGCGCGAAATTTTTAAGTATTACGAAGACAGCGGGACACGAAGCTTAAAAGCGGGAGGTATAGTCACGTTAGATATAACTGATACAAAGAACGAACAAACAACAAACTCAAAGAAAAATTCCTTATATCGGGCTGGACATTAATTAACGACATTTTTTCGCTTAACGCGGGCTATTGCTCTCCCAATCCCACCCAATTGGGTATAATCCGAAATGTTGCTTTTAAGTCTTGAAATTTATACTAGTTTTATTTTTAAATTGCAGCGGGGCCCATCTTTTACGATCGATGTGTAATACATCAACGTGATCCCATGATACGGCCTAACTCTGGGCATGGTTCTTCTCTAAGCAGATAGTTGAAGCTACAGTCTGCAATCTCAGCAAAATGCGGGTAACACATGATAGTAATAACTTATAAAATAAAACGAAATTTAGCCAACATGTTTGACTTAAAACCTGTAACAATATATAAACACTCTCTTTTTTGTAAAGGCGTCTAATGCAGAGAATACAGCATGCTCAGCTTCACGTTTAAGATTAAAATTGAACTCTATGCCATTTATGATAAGAACGATCCAAAGATCAAAGTGTTAAAGCTGTGTGAAGTTGACCGTACTTTGATTTGAATAGTAATTCAATATGCAGCCGGTATGTATGCAGAAGTTGCAACAAGCAAGACAGGGTGACAAGTGCAGAACGTTACTTAGCACAAGCAAACTCTCGACTTTCTTAATCTAAAAGTATCCAGTCACAAACTTACCTCGCAGATACACTCATATTCTTACAAAAAAAAAATTACAAATGTGTATTTTACATAGTCAATCATAAATATAATTTTTAATAAAAAAATACAATCAAATTGCAAAAATAAAACATTGTTTCCGTTATAGATTTAAATTTTCTTTATTTACTAAACGATTATCACCATCACGTTTTTATTCTTCTTTCGATTGCCACCAACTATTGGTAAGTGGCAGTTGACACTTTCAAGGGCCATTCAGTGGTGTATCGGGAGAAATTAAGTGACACTTTCCCTAAGACAACGAAAAAGGGTATAAGGCTGAGACTTATATAACGAACTTTGATGTCGACTAGGCAAAAATGGAGACCTAAGGAAGGTTTTCGTATTTATGTTATGGACAGGCATGTCGCTTACCACCAGGCTCACCAAAAAAAAACAATGTTCGTTTTGTACATAGGAAAAATTTTCTTGGCTCGCCATTTTTGTTTAAACGACGTCAAATACCCGTTTTATAAATTTCAGCCTGTGTCCTTGAAGCTATCCAATGCCGTTTGTCGGTTAACACGTGACGGTGCGCCATGTACCCGCACGAAAATGTAGATGTTGGTAGAATGATTGATTGATTGCATGTTTGCAGTCAATGCGTGAAATCGTAATGAACTCGAGTCGAGTTGATGACGGCTTCACGCATTACCTGCTTATGCAGTCGATCTCGACTTCATACACTTAATACGTGAAGTCGTTATCTGATAACTCGACTGCATAAAGGTGATAACGACTTCACGCATTAACTGCAAACATGCAGTCAATCTTTTAGCAGCCTAAGAATACGACGAGTCTCGTCCGATTCATGATAGAATGTCTGGCCTCATTTAGCTCGCATGCCACGCAGAGGTCCCAGGTTCGATTCCCGGGCCGGGAGAAATAGTTGTATGGCCTACAATTATTTCTCTCGTGAGTTTGGATGTAATTTGTGGTTGTCTATGTGTGTGTCCATGGCACCCGCGACACAGGGTTTCCCTAGTGCGGGGCTATGTTGAGTGTGTGCGTTATTATTATTATAGCTCGGATTCGCACATTTGCTAAGATACGCACTATCTTAGCAAATGTGCAAATCCGAACTCCAGTCAGTATTCTGATTTCTGCCCAGTACCAGAACCTTTTCTACAGTGTTGTAGCACTGTAGGCGTTAATAGTAAGCAGTGATAATCGTTTATATCCATTATTTCTTACCCTTAATACAAATACCCTTTGCCTACTATTTATTTTTGCGTTTATATAAAAAAGCGTTACGTGTTCCGCCTCCGCAATTTTGTTCAATTTAAAATTATTTCATATGAAAATTAGTAGGCAATAAATTCTTTTGATATTATGACCACATACTCCCATAATAGGTCTATTAGCATGCAATACTATAACCTAGATGAATTAGGAATGTAGGACGATTCAATGTACTCACCGCTTCCAGGGTATTTTACTGATTTGACAGGATGCACTTCGAGCATGTTGAAGAGATCCGCCAGCATTGCTATTAAATTTTGTCGCATTGACCTGGAATGTATTAAAAAAATATTTCAAATAGTTGAATCGCGTAATGTAAAATATAGGTTGGTCAATTTATAACTATCCATATTCAAATATTTAAATTATAGATGGTATTAATGGCGTTGATAAGAGACCTGCAGATCAATCGAACATCCGTAGGCGCTATAAATTCTATACTAAGCAATCCCCACACGAAACAGGCAAAAAGACTGTTACTATTTGTTGAGTCTGCCCTCTAAGCTATAGTTTAGGATACGATGGAACTGGCATATACATTGTATAGTCAAGAGCACGTCATGCTTGACACTTTGTACTTTGGGCCGTTCTTATCGTAAGCGGCATAGAGTTGGATTTAAATCTTAAGTCAAGCTTGACGTGCTCTTGACCCTGTACAAAAGTTCCTAAATAAAAAAAATCGTATTAAGAAAAATTGCGGTGTTTCAGCGAATGGAAAGGACTAGTGTCCAATGAGAACCGTAGGTACTATAACAAGAGTGGAGAGGTTTTTAAACTGTTGCAAATGGAACATGAAATATGACTGTATGACGATTACATTAAAAACTTGTCGAACAACGACAGAGAATAAGTTCATCATTATTAAACATTTATAAAAACTACTGCTGGGTCATACAATAATTCATAAAACTAATTAAAAAAAAGAAAACTTATCAAATTATGGAAATGAAACTTTTTTTGGAACCAAATTGCGTATCTTGCTGGCTTGAGTGGGCTGGTATTTGTTTTACAAATAAGTCCACTAAAAATAAAAAACGTTTCTTTTTGTTCGAAAAAAAAAAAGCTTCCGGTCACGGCTGACTGAGATTGTAAAGTCATCAAAACGTTAGTTTATTTGAAAAACAAATATGCATTTAGATCCGACGACGCATAGTAATCGCGAATACCTAAAAATTCGATATGTCATCAAATTTTGTTTCATCATTTATCATCATCATCATTGACCGTCCCACTGTTGGGCACGGGTCTCCTCTAAGGCGAGGATTTAGGTCAGTATCCGCCACGCCGGCCCAATGGGGATTGAAGACTTCAACGTATTTCGAGGGTTATTAACCTTATTCGACATGCAACTTTCATCACGATGTATTCCATAAAGCTCATGATAAATTTCAAATTAAATTTCGAATAAAGAGGCGGTAGGTCAATCCATTAGGCTACCACAAATTTAAAAAAAAATTGTTTATTCTGCCCAAATAAATATGTCATTTGAATTCCACTTTGTATTCGGAAGATTTCACCACATCATTATTGGCGATATGACTTGACAACCTCAAACGTGACCGATGTGTAATAAACAAACAAAAATTTACGTAATGGTAATGCACCTGGCATGCAATCTGTCTGGCGCTCGCCGATATAAATCACGACAGGTGTTTCGCTGTTGCGGTCACGAGGTAGGTATTAACTTTTTGTTAACCGACTTTGCAATTACACGATACTGTTTCCCCCCGACACAAAATTGCAACTATATTTGAATAATGATGACGACCGAAAGTGGTCCAACGGTTAATATTGCGGGTGCTGGATGAGGAACGCCCGGGTTGGATTTTCGGTAGGAACAAATTAGGAAATGAACTTTGCTAAATTGGTTGCGGGAAGTCTTCTCTGGGAAGTACCCAAGAGTTTCAAGAGAAAAAACACACCAGTTTCAAGAGGTCTATCCTGCGCTATTAGCTTTTACACGGACGCTCTTTCCGTTATAACAAAAACGAACACAAGCAATCGCGCGAAGGTACGTTAGCTTAAAAAAGGTCAAACAGATAAGCGCGCACGATTGCGCGTGCTGGTTTTCCCGCGCTCAATCCTGTACGCTCCTGATCACATGCGATAGAGTGGCTAGTGCCGTGTACGTACTCCACTGACAAAGAGTCTAGCTCTTAAACAAGAACAGAAACACTATTAATATAGACTATTAGAAAAATTATATTTCAATTTGTCTTAAAAATATAACATAGTTAGCGCCCAGTTACACGAGGAGAAAGTTTTCCGACCACCCAGTTGCCATGCCTTCATGTACATTAATGACGAATCTGAATTCTATTTACTACGCAACAACATTTAAATTTCTCTAAATAATACAACCGCCGCGTAGACCAAATTCAAGACCCACTCGCCCGCGTGTCCGGGACGCTCATTTAAGTCAAAACGTTAAAAGGCTAAACAAATAGAGTTTATTTTGCCATGACGACTTAATTTTCTTAAAACGGACAAATGAGAAACTCAGCAGACGCCTCTGGGAATTTAATAGCTCTACGTAATTACTTAGTTCCTAGACTTCTCGCTGTAATGAAAACTCACTTAGCAATGTCAACATAAACTTTACAACTAGTATGATATTTCTAATCCTCTATAGCACAGCTTCCCAAACCTTTTAACTCATTGCCCACTTAGGCAAGATAAAAAAATTTGAACGCCTACCACCACATAAAAATATTGAAAACACGTATTTTTTACATTAACTTAAAAAAAAATACTGTCAATTGCTTCCGAGGCACCTAGCGCCCGTCTAGGACTCTTCAACGCCCACTGGGGGCAGTAGGGACCACTTTGGGAAACTATACATAGGGTAGGTGATAAATAATCAGCGACATCAAGCGTGGAAAAATAGAACTTAACGTATGTAAAAAGGATGCAAAATTTTCTCACCCTCGCATGTAAGTGACGTCTTCAGGCATCATATGAAAAACGTTGTGCGGTAGACTAGTCTGGCAAAAGTCGTATACCAGCATGAGATTGTGCAGGCAGTCTTGTATTGAAGCCATCCGTCCCACCCTGACCGCCGACCGCGGTAGGGCTTCGGGACAGTAGAATGATATAAGCGCAGCGAGAGCTGTGCCATCACATAGTTCTTGGAGGTTTTTTACCATTGGCACGTGCTGTGATTGGTCCTCCTGGAAGCGATAAATACATTATGGCAGAACCGCGCGCTATAGACTATCAAGATCTATAACACCTATGCTGAGTCAAGGCCATTTCAGAAAAAAACTATAATGAATTGAATTAACTTTAGAAATATTGTGATTTATGAATTTATACTAATTGGTATTTCGTTTTCTTATATTAATTTAAAAAGAAATGTTTGTACAATTGAGTATGTTTGTGGTATAAAAAAATATTGGACTGTAGGCCAATGTATTCAAACCCCGTATGTGTATCATAGAAACTGGTAAAGTAGGGTGTGTGGGGTCCGCTGTGAACTCGCGCACACTGTAGGGTTTTAGGAACCCTTACTCTAGTAAAAATAACGATTACTTGTTTAATCCCTAGTATTTAAATATATATTATGCTTAAAACCTTAGTGAGATAAATGTTGCACATATTTCCATTTGGTGCTATAGCATTACAGATTAAAAAGAGCTATTTATGCTTCATCTGTATGGGGTACCTATAGTATCCTCATATTTTTCAATTATACGTGAACTATCACGCTTTGTGACAAAATTCTTTGATTTTTTTTAAAGTTTGTCACATTTCAAATACAAAAAACACTTCTTACAAGCGAAGCAAATCGACACTGTAAGGGTCGTATTCTAGAACTCTACTCAATGCTCAAGTCAGGATTTGAGTATGGTTTAAAGCACTTGAAATCATACTCAAGTCCCTGCCATTAGGGTCGTATTTCCAGTGCAATCCTGACTTGAGCATTGAGTACAGTTCTAGAATACGACCCTAAGTGTAACGTTCGACCTCTTGAGTTACTAGAGAGTTCAGATGAAAAACGTTACTACGTACTACTCGAATCTTATATATAAGTATCCGTAGGCGATCACAGGCCGGTGAGCATTCCTCGCCCGTTAAACGCTGTAAGCGAACTGTTATATCTCAGTCCTACTACCTAATCTACTAGAATCGGCCCTGCCATTTTTCCTAGTCAGCATTCTTCTAAAAACATCAATAGAAAGCAGTCCAGTTCTATTCACACTCCCGGTGTATAAACACGTACCAAGTCCATTTCCATTTCATAAACTATTTTTCATTTTATTGTACTTAGATTACCAGTTCTTCCCGAATTATGCAATTGCCGGGAAATTGTGTTCTTTTTTTTAAACAACAGTACGTGAGGAATCGCTTATCATCTGAACCAACCCTAAACAATTCGAAAAAATAACGTCAAGGAACTGTCAAACGTTCGGATACTTGTACAAATGTCACACAATCTATCATCTAAATAATAAATATAAAATAAATAAATATTACATAACATCACATAAGTTGCTCTGATCCCGAAGAAAGAAACTAAAGCAATTGTGTTACAAAAATTGGAAACAACGACGGTACCACAAACACCCAGACCCGAGACAATATGGAAAAGTTTCTACATTGACTCGGCCGGGGATTGAACCCGGGACCTCAGAGAACATCATGAAAACCGGTGTGCAAACCACACGGATCTAGTTACACTAATTTCAAATTTAATTTCAATAAAATTTAATATGGAGTTCGGACCCATGTTCCTAAAATAATTACTTTACTTGGTTCATACAAATCTAAAGTGATATATTTTAACGAATAAATTAGTAAGCAATACAGAGTCAGGATCGTACGGTACCTCAGCCTTATTTAACGCCGTGCAAGCCGCGTTGATCCAGCACAGCAAGCCATCCTCGTGGGGGATCGAAGAACCCACTGGCAGAGGCTGGCTTGTGCCGAAGCGCTGCGCCGCCGCTGACACCCGGTCCAGCGTGACCACTTCGCGAGCATATAACACCATAATTGCTTCCATTACTGCCATGTGCGCGCTCTGAAATGCCATTGACCAGTGTTGGATTATCAATGCTTCATAAAAGCAGGATAATAGAGAATCGGGCACTTTTACAGTAAGCATTAAAAGTAAAGTTTCAAGAGATTAACATTGTTACACCAATATCACAGTACATTTATGAAAATGTTATTTAGATTTAGATCCCAAACAGACATAAGACTGCAGTACTAATTAATATGTTTTAGTTTATTCTAATTTCTATTAATAATTAATAACAAATTAAACTTAATAAAAATTCATTCAATAAAATAATTTGTAAAACTTAATGTAGCGTAAATTGGAATGTTTTCTTTGTAAAATTAAAAATAAGGTATTTAATTAATAACTATTGTAACTATAGTGAAAAATAGGGTGGTTTGCATTAATATTAGACATAACTGGTTGAAGACTGTACCACCTCAGTCAACCGTGACCATGGGACCTGTAAAGGGCCCGAAACGTCGGTTTGTTTGAAAAAACAAATATACGCGATTTAAATCCGGAAAAATAGTTTCATTTCCTAAATGTTATTTAGGTTAAGTAAAATATTTTTTTTAATGAAAAATAGTGACAGACATAACATTATTACGAGGAATAAAAATAAACTAGCTGTCTTTGCCAGTCGTCTTCACATAGTCTCAAATTAGATAATAGATAACATTATTATTATTTATACCAAAACCTTTATTATACAGCTTCTGCGTACTTGGATAACAAAAATCCGTAGTAGTAACCCGTTTGGCTCTTACAAGTAGTCTCGATCTCACCTTCACACACCATCAACCCATTTATATGTCCCACTGCTGGGCACGGGTCTCCTTTCAGACGAGGGTTTAGGCCATAGTCCGCCACGCTGGCCCAATGCGGGTTGGGGACTTCACACGTTTTTCCGAGGGTTGTGAACCTTCTTCAACGTGCAGGTTTCATCACGATGTTTTCCTTCACCGAAAAGCTCATGATGAATTTCAATTTAAATTTCGCACATAAATTCCGAGAAACTCAGAGGTGCGAGCCCGGTTCGAACCTACGACCTTCTGCTTGAGAGGCAGTAGGTCAAACCATTAGGCTACCACGGCTACAGTCTCGATCTAAGATGTTTAAATTAAATATTCTATGTATGATAAACGTATTCAACTGTATATTTACAAAGCACAACCCTATAGTCCATCTGTTTAGGTACTTAACTAAATGTAAACAATCTTGAGATGTATATTTAATGAAATATACATTTATAAAATGATTTTCCCTTACCTTCAAATACAAAATACAAATACTTAGCTTCATATGAAATTGCATGCCTATTTTATACCTATTGATTTGTAAAGCATGGGTTTCAATAAAAAGATGTATCAAGATTGTTTACATTTAGTTAAGTACCTAAACAAATGGACTATAGAGTTTCTTGCTCATTCTTCTCAGGGGAATCTGCCTTACGAATAAGCCATATAATCAACATGTCGACTTCAAGTGTAATTTGCTTACCTATGAAATAAAGATTATTCGACCTTGACTTTATTACAAAATTAGGCACGTGTATAAATATTATGATATTTTGCTACCATGATACTTATTTATGTTTCTGAAATTACTCGACTAGTTTGTTATAATTATAAATATAAAGGTCGAATACAAAGAAAAACTCCTTCGATCTGATAGGACTGCTCGTCCTAGCGCTTCCTTCTTTGTTAGTGATCAAACTAGATTGAAAAAAAATCAAGATCGATTATGGCGATAAAGAGCCAAGGTCTGAGGGGCACTGCCAATGTGTCCGTCACCCAGAAATATCAGTTAAAAAATATTGTAATGAAACCTGCATAAGGAAGTAGGTTTTTCAACCCGCATTTCATCCCGTGTAGCGAATTACAACTTACAGCCTAAACCGTCTCTTTAAAGGAGACCTGATGATGACTAACTCCTCGTTTTTATCGCCGTCAAGAATGAATAAATAACTTATATTGTAGTAATAATATATATTCTTTATATAGATGTATAACAATAATATAGTTATTTCATTCGTATTTAATAAGCACCCATCACTACTAAATAAGGTAAACGATTCTTTTATGGAGAACTGTAAACGTTTTTACAATAAGATTTAGAAGCATATATAAAGATTTTATTATTTCCTAAGTTTAGAACTTACATTAAAAGAATTTTAATTGAAAAGTCATATTACAAAATTGAATACTATGTATTAGATAAAGATGTATGGAAAGACAATACGAGTCTAGATTCCAGACTAATATGATTGAAAGTGTATTCCATAGCATTTAAGTTTATTTGAAAAGAGCAATCCAATTAAGAGATTCTTGCTCGTTCTTCTCTGGGAAGTCAGTACAGTGAACGAGCAGTAGCTTAAAAAATGACGTTAAAAAATGTAACAATTTTACCTATGGAATAAATGATTATTGACTTTGACTTTATCTTATCACCCCACGGTTTCCTGGCAAATATTGCTATGTAGCAATAAGGCCGCCTATTGTACCCAATCTTTTATCCATTTTTGTATTTATTCTTGTGTCCAATAAATAATATCTCATAAAATAATAATATCTAAATTCTGAAGCTTACCATTTTAAGTGGATTGGTTTGTATAAGCACGGTCTCAGTGAGCGCGCAGTCAGGCGGGTCTGGCACGTGGACGCCTTTCCTCGCGAGAGTCTGCAGGATGTTCCAGTGGTTCAGGCTATGGTAATTGGGATCCGAGTACATGTTGGCCAGCGCTAGGCAGTAAAGCTCGGCGTTCGCGAGACCACCCAGTATCGGTGGCTTCAGGTGTTCCTGATCCTGCAACAAGATTACACATACCTCTTTAAAATTATTCAGAAAAAAGAAAAGGGTTTTCAAATCAACTCAATTTAAACTGATTTGTTGAGAAATATAATTCCGATGGTGATGAATATACGAGAAAAATTAAGCTAGTAACAGCATTTAGATACATATTCCGATATAAATATAGGGTAAAGTATGACAAAGTAAATACGCACAAAATATCGTCTCAGTTATTTATGTAATGACGTACTTAATAATTATGAAACTACGTTTCACCGAAGATTATACATTACACTTCGCCCGAGCAATTTCAAATTTCAGACGGCAGAGGCAATATCGTCTACCACAAAGCCTCTCAAGGTCAGGGAATGCGATAAATTGAGCTTAGAAATATTGGCATAGCAATTGTTTTAATAAATCAAGTTAATGTAACTTCTTTTCTTAAGTTCTATTATTTTTCTTGTCGAGTCAAAGTTAATTATTATAATAATTATAACAAGGTAGACCTACATCATTCATGTCTCCCACTAGGGTAGGCAAACTCGCTAAGCTCCCGACAAACCTCTTTCGTCTGATGTGAGTGGACGCATAAATCTCTTACGCATATTGGCACTTATAGCTACTAGCAAGCCCCAATCTGATCAAACATGTAAAACACGAACAACCTAATCCCACTATCCCATCGACACACTAGCTCTACAAATTTATGCCGTCAATCTACAAACAAATAAATAGAAACATTTAAGGGACCTGATAGTAAGGTAGATCACAAGTTGATCAGACCAGATCAAAATAGTCATCGACCGCCCTTTACAAGTCGTGTACCAGGAAAATAGCCTTCAAATTATGTCGTGACGACAGATAGTCGTGCAGTGTTGTATACTTAAATGAAGTTGTTCGTGACTTTTGATGTTGCGACAACAGACTGAATGTCGCAACAAAAAATAAAAATGTGACGACAGATAATCGCAGCTTCAAACGACTTTGTCGTACAAACGACAAGGTGGCTGACGTAAACCGATAAATTGTCGTCACGACCTAGTGAGAACAGCTAGACAGTCGATAAAGTAAACGTCCACGACAGATGTCGTGATATGGGAACAGGCTAGACACGACAGTCGTCCAACGACAAATAAAACGTTACGACATAACGGGAACGCGCTCTAAGAGGCGACTCTCCATCCAGTGAAAATCACGGACCATTTGTCAAAAAGTAAAACGACCAAGGGTAGATATCGAACAAGTCTTATTCCATGAACGCTAGTTATTGCCGTCTTATTCTTGGAATGAGACTATGCAAAGATAGCGAGCTAAGCAAGTTTTTCGTATTTACAAAACGATCTTTGGCTACATTTAAGCAAGAAATTACGAAGTAAACTCAAGGTAAAATTTAATTTCTTAAAATTGCTTAAAATTTAGGCATAGTTAGTTTCGTAAATATAAAAAAAATTACAATTATTAATACAAAGATAGAACACTTAGAAAAAATTGCTTCGATCCGGCCGGATTCGAACCGACGTCTTCTAGCAAACCGTGCCAGACCTATGCCAACTAAGCCACGGAACAAACCAGCGGACCTCAAACATTTTTTTCTATGTGCTTGTTGTCGGATCTGTGTATTTGCTTTTCGACGACTTTTTAGCCGTAGCGCCATCTGTAAGAATTTTATGAAAGTATTTCGTCATCCAGTTAGGTAACTTCACAGCTACCAGCACTGGCTAGAGATGTTGCTATTAATTGTAATAAAATTAGTTTTGAATTGATATCCAATTATTTTGTGAAATTACTCCACTAGTTTGTTATAATTATTAATACAAAGATCAGGAGTAATTTCACAAAAAACAATTGAATATCAATTCAATACAAATGTAATAAAAAAAACTTGGTTAGCTCAACATCTTTGCTTAGTCGAAGTCCAAGTTCTACTTACTATTTGTAAAAATCTAGGAGACCTAGTGCCCCTAATAGTGACACATATTCCAATGTAGATCAATGTTAGGTCGCGTCCTCACAAAATAGGACAAACTACTTACCAGCTCTGGCGTGTGATGTCATTTTTATCTAAAGAGGTTATGGTCGTAAAGTGGCACAAACTGCTGTGTTTGCACTGATTAGAAGTATTACGTTCACACTATTAGAAGATGATCCTATGATATGAATAAATACTTAGAAGTCTTTGTCTTGGCCTTATTTACTTATTTCAAAAACTAGCTCCTAGGCAAGAGCTTCGCACTCTATCTGCCGCCCTAACGGGTCATGGTCCATACAATAAACACCTTTTTAATTTAGGCATCACAGACAGCCCTATATGCAGAGTATGCATGGAGAGGGAAGAAACGGCTGCGCACATCCTACTACAGTGCTCCGGCGTGGTATGAAGTACCTTGGAGTGCCGAGGTCGCTCCCCGAAATCTTCAGCTAACCGAGGAGATTGCTCAGATTCCTGAAGGAGCTTGGGTGGCACGAGTAGGATCCTGCACCCATCATACGCAAAATAGACGCCTTGACGTCGAGTTGCGGACACCAGCCCGTTGCACCAAGTACCAACTAGCTTCAGTTCAAACGGGTACTTTGTATTTAAAAGCCAGACTCTGACCAATGATACGGTATCGGGAGAACGGGTACGAATCTCTGTGGCGGCATATAGGCATATGTATTAACAATAATCTCGTACGTTACGTATATTTGTGAATATTTAGTAACAATACCCAAGGTTCGAAATTATCAATTGTCTTTAATCATTATCATGATTAATTATCCGATATATGTCCGATAATAATCCATGCTGATTAATAGCTTTAACTCTTTCATTTTTTTAATAAGTAATATTATGCCTTTTTTATTAAAAAAAGACCTCAAAAGTCCGTGGAATTATATCTATTTGCAAAGTTTTATTGAACTCGGTTACCGGAAAGAGCGCGAAACCGGATTCATCCACTAGTTTGCCACTCTTAGAGGTGGAATATTTTTTCAAATTTAAAATAATGAAGTATTTACTCTTTCTAACAAAAAAAGAAACATCAAAGTCGGTTCACAAATGCCCGTGTAATCGCGTAACAAACACACAAAAAAACATAGTCGAATTGAGAACCTCCTCCCTTTTTGAAGTCGGTTAAAAATAACAAACAGTGACAAAAATAAATAAAGACGAAGACAAATCTTTGGAAAAACAATTGGATTTATGACTTTTTTTAGATTGACATTTGACAAATTTGGATACGTCGCTAAAGCAATTTTTTTTTTATATAACGTCAAATGACGGGACGAACAAGTCGTGCACCTGATGGTAAGCTGCACGCCTGTCCACAACAGTTACAGTGCCACTCAAAGCTTTAAATTGCAAAGATCTGAGAGGAAATACCACTTTTTACGTCACCCTGAAACATAAGTTGACAAGTCCCATATGCTTATACTTTCACCAGCACCCTTAACCTTCAAAACCCAAACACAGTAATGCTGACAGTACTGCTTGGCGGCAGAAATAAGTAAGGTGGCAGGACTACCCCGGACGAACTTTTTCAGATAATGGCACGACATTGTTAGCGGTAGTGTTACGAGTATGTTGTTCCACTTAATTGTCATGATAATATTGATAATTTTCAATAATAAGCATCTGTATGTATGTATCTGTATTTTCAATAAGAAGTTTCACAATCCTTGAAAGGTGTAAAGTCGCCAAGCCCCAATCTTTTACAAGAAGCGACCAAAGCAATAATGACGATGATTGAACTCTAGCACGTCGTCACCGTTAAGAGGGAGCATGCCAAAAAAGTTTTGACGTTGGCTCCGCCCAAATTTGTGAAACAAATATATGCCTGAAGTTCGCGTGACATGCGACAGGAGATGTTGAATTTTGCGCATTAAAAGTACCAAATTCGTTTTTAGCAGAATAACTTTAAAACTAAAGGGATTAAAAAAAATCCGCAGTAACAGTTGTCGATCATGCATAAATACAATTAATTATCTAATTTTTGTCCTAATAACCTGTAGCATTTCTAGGATAAATCGAAAAAATGTGAAAATTAGAGGTCATTTCGTGATTTTTATCTATCGAGGAAACTTTATTGTTTTATGTTTCTGATTAATGTCTATGCTTGAATATATCGTGTAGTTACTCATACAATATTTTATTTTTAACTTTAAAGTGGATATACCGTTCTAAAATCAAATCGGATAATTAGGAATTTTTCCTCTGCTCCCTATTCAGGTAAATAAGACGTCTTTTTTATCGTCAACTTAAGAATCGTCAGTCTAGAATGTGTCCTCGTATTACAACTGCGTGGCATAACGATATAATCCGCCTACATCTCGAGAATCGAGTTAGCCTAAGGTATTTATACGCTGAGTAACTGAACGGGTGACTTCAATGCCTTGTGTTACTGGATATTATGCACAAAGAATTGTCATCGGATACTTCGTTTATTTAAATGTTCGATAAGGTCGATAACCCCCTAACGGTCACAGGATGTCTTTGAAACCTTACACGTTTTGCAGGTCTTTAGTCTCGTTGTTATTCACTAAACGCTTGCTTAGTCAACCTGGGATGGGAGAATAATAAAAGGTCATACAGTGGTAAGAAACCTGCAAGTTACATGATAATCGCTTAAATGTTTTTGTTTCAAATATGTATCATCATCAACACTATTTATACGTCTCAATGTTGGGCCGGGTCTCCCGCTCAGTGTCGCAAATCGACTGCATTTTTTTGTACAGAGTCAAGAGCACGTCAAGCTTGACACTTAAGATTTAAATCAACTCTATGCCGCTTACTATAAAAACAGTCCAAAGTACAAAGTGTCAAGCTTGATGTGCTCTTGACTGTGCGTATGTTACGCGATAACTCCGGAAAATTTGTGAACTGATTTCGATGATCTTAGGTTTTCGCGATTGTTCCACACATAGGAAATGAAACTATTTTTCCGGATTTAAATCGCGTATATTTGTTTTTTCAAACAAACCGAAGGCTCAACTCACACTGGCGTAGAGACGAAGCGTCGCGACGCGTCGTGTTTTTC